AAAGATAATGTTCTAGGGTGAAAAGTAGTGAAAAAACGAGTCTGAATCCTCCTCCCCTTTGACCTAAGCTCGAGCAATAACCTTCCAAAATTCGAAATCACGAAAATCGCGCAGCCGTTACAAAACAGACCTTAGCGGCGCTAAGGGTTCTTAGCGCCGCTAAGCCACCTTAGCGGCGCTAAGGTTCCATAGCGCCGCTAAGCCTTGTTAGCTGCTCCTCTCTGGCTTCGCTAAGAAATAAACCGCCGCTAACAAACTGACCTTAGCGGCGCTAAGGGCTGGACAGCATCAAAAACTTCACATTACGGGCCTGTAAGCTCGGCTAGCGTCTCTCGGGTACTGCCCGGGCGGGAAACTCGATTCTCGTAAGTTTGGGTCCATATAATGATGCTCGAACAGTGTACTTCCCTCCTCGACTGAATGCTCGCCAATTTGGACAACCTAGAACCTGAAATCGCACCACCGGACAAACACGAAAAACAAAAGAAAATAGGAAGGAAAAAACAAAGAAAACACTAAACACACCGAAATAAAGATGAAAGCATAAGAAATGACAAAGAGGACCGAAAATACCTAAGAAAAGACCTAAAACGGGGGAAACGACACATAGAAAATCAACGAAACTAGCAACAAAAACGGGACAAACAACATCCCATGAGACTGGGGCTAACTTCCACACAACTTTGCGCTCTCTTTGACATTTTTAATAGTGTTTGGTCAGAATCCTTTTTTGACTCTGTGGCATCGATTCCATTATTATTAGTGAGAAATAATTCTTTCGTATATTGTTTCCTAAAAGGGGTTAGGTTAATATTTATTCTATTTTGTTCTGTCAACTTTTCCACTATCTCCCCCAAAAAACCAAACTCTGCCTTACGTAAAGTTGCCAGAAGTTTGGACCAAGATTTCCGCATGGATAGGGTAGGGTAAAGAACAAATGATCCACAGATTCACCTAGTTTTCCACATCAATGGCAAATGTAGTCCACTTCCATACCATTCCTCAGTAGTGAGGAATTTATTCAAAATGTTAATTGGATAAGCTGAAGCTACTAAGAGTGTGCCTTTAGTATCCTCTTTCCATATCCTCTTTACTAGAAACTGGGGTGCATATGGACTGAATCAATTCGATGTTCCAATATCTGCCTTTATCAGTTAGTAATTCATGAACCCAGGTCAAATGAAAATCTACCAACCCAGATACCCATGGATCAGAGAGGATCCTTGTGTTTAGACCATCATGAATTTCCTTCCTAAAACCCTGTTTGTAGATAGAGAGAACTCTGACCCAGGAACTCCATGACCAAGAAGCGGATCCACTCATTTTAGCTTCAAGGACCCAACCAGAATAGAAGTACTTCTACTTTAAAACTCTAGTCATCAAACTGTTTGGTTGTGTTAGTAGCCTCCAAATTTGCTTCAGAATCAAGGAATCATTTAACACCCTTATATCTATAAAACTTATTCTTCCTTCTGACTTAGGCACTGTAATCTTGCTCCAAACAACCCAATGAATCCCTTTCTGCTGATCCACTCCCTTTGACCACCAGAAGTTTTCACTGAGCTTGGATATCTCCTTTCAAATACTCATAGGCAATCACAAACATGACATTACAAAAATGGGTAGTGCATTAATAACAGCTTTAAAAAGTACCTCTTTCCCAGCTGCAGAAAGGAAAGTGTTCTTCCAGC